GACTTGCATATGAATTTAGGAAATACTGACACAGGTATGAAATGTAGAAAGTTATTCAATGCAGTCATCTTCTAGAAATGGTGACCCAACTGACATGCAGTTTCAAAGACAACCTGCTGGAAGGACCACGCTCAGTAACTTGCTGAACAAAAGTCAATTTGCACTTGTTACACTGGTTCCTAGACAAATTCAAAGCAGCTCTCAGAGCAAGTGACATGCTTACAGAGTGTGACTGGGATGAAGGATCCACTAGCATATGAAGCCTCACACAGGCATCAAATCCAAATGAGTGATCCACTCTTTAAAATGACAGTTTAGCACTGAGAAGCCTTCAACTATCAGGAAATTTGAGGTTTCATCTTCTCAGCATTTAAAGCACCACAAGTTCTCAGGCTATGGTTTTTGCAATGCTGGTACGTGCGTTGCAGGCAGGAACACAAACACAGAGGTGCAAGACAAGGCTCCCCAAAGGACAGAATGTGCCTGACTCCAGTTTCCCCACTAAAATATCAGATTATTTCAATTCGGGCAAAGAGAAGTAGATGACTATTGGATGCCTCATCAAGTCCTTCCAACGAATTTGAGTTGTAGTCATTGACACAGCTACCTAACAAAGTAGCCATTCAAAGAGCAGCGGTCTTCCTGCAGCTCTATACATCCTACACATGATTATCTCTGTAAAGATCAGTTTTGGATGGATTAATTTAACACACAAATTACAAGCAACCTATCAAAACAGAAGTGAAAATAGTCTTGCCTATAAAAATCACACTAGTACATGAGAAAAGGAAACCAACTTCCCCAATACAGATACAATCTGTTGACAAAGATGTGGTGATGGTAGAGTTTCTCGTGTTTCTCCTTCAAAGGCCATCTATTAATCCAGGTCAGCATAAGGCATCTTCATACTGGGGCTGTTTCACTCATGCATTGGAGGAGTAGGTCTGAAAGGCATCAGTTAGCTTTGAAGGAGAGGGAAATCACACCCAAAAGCCAAAGTAATAAGGCATACACATGCCAGTACACAGCTAAGATCTTGGTCATACTGACACAGGCATTGCTTGACTTATTTCTCAATATTCCAGACTTTAGCCCCATCCTCAGGGATCTCTGAGACTTTAAATGGTAAACAGGATGAAGCTCAATGTAAATGAGAATTGAGCTGAACTCTCACCCTGTTATTTCCCCATTTTTAGGAAGGCAGACCTAAATAGCACTGCTTCTCAGTAAAGGTTGATGCTAAACCCTCAAGCAACACCACTGGTCTACAGGACTTCATGCCAAGAGGCTCCATTTAGAAGTTGTAATTGCACATGAACACTCTCAGCCTCCGAAATTCAGCTCTCCAATGTGCAACACGAATGAATTGTGCTAAGGAAGGTAACTTTTAAAGCAACAGAATTCATGCAAGGATCCTGTTTAGATTTCTCCAAGTTTTCTTTTGTAGAAGTATTAAATATTCAAAGACTCTAGTTAAAGATATTTTAATGTAAATAAGTATAAGAAACATTTCTTTTGTGACTACATTTTTTTTACCGTATTATAAACTAATTTTTATACGGTATGGTTTTATATAAATTATTTCAACTTACCAAAGGGAGAAACAAGAATCAAAACAGGAACTTTACCTAAGAAGAACAACTGGGAAGCACAGAACAGAGGCAGATGATTCATGTTGTAAGCAACTATAATGTAAGTAATTAAACCTCAATAATCCTGAGAGGTGCCAGAGTATCACCACCCCTATTTAACATGTTAATCATGGCAGTTAAGTTCCACTACAGAATCACAATGTAATTACAAGCTCCCTGACAGCAGCTCTGAGTGCATGTTTCATAAGGGCTGCTGAGTTCACCTATTATCAGTTCTGCATGTTAAGCTGCTGATAAAACACTGTCTTATGCCCTCGGTGTGATTAGACTTCCCATTCTAACCCTGTTTCTTTCAAGTGCCAGGCATCAGCATCCAAGTCTTTGATGAATACAATTAAAAGTACATGGATATAGACACATTTTCCACCATGTTCAACACTACTGATAAGTTTTTGGACAAGGAAAGCAAGGACTTCAAGGCCCGGGAACAGGACCCCTCTTTCCCGCAGCAGCCACTTTCAGACAACATTATTTTACTTGAATTACGAGGGGAAGACAACACAGAAGAGACTGAAGGAAGATGTGGCACCAACTTTACAACAGGATATTACTGGCACTCTTCTCTCAACCCTTATCTACCTCCCAAAATCCACCTATCTTGGGTACACAGCAGCTCTGCAGCTTTGCTGGCAACTGGAGGGCACAAGGGCTGTCTCTGATAGCTGAGACAAACCAGATGATGACACAGCCCAGAGATGGGATGAGGACAGAGGTGTGATAACACAGTGACAAAGGGTGGTTCAGACCAGGGCACAGAATTAGTATCACTGATACTATGATAGCAATGTGGAACTACTGAAACAGCAGAACAATTAGGTGTCAGGCTTGGAGTTACAACACTACCAGAGGATTGGCATCCCAGCCAGCACTGACCACGCACTGCAGGAGGTATCTGCAGTATGTCACCAGAATAAGCTTCAGGGTTATTAGAGGAGTTAGTGGATGGACCCGGATCTCAAGTCACTACTTGTGTGATTGAAATTAGACAGAGATGCTGTCAAGACACAGGAACTCCGTGATTTATGGAAAACTGGAAGAGGAGTGCTCCCAAACCGGTAACACTGTCTGAGGGAGAATATAATCTCACAGGATGGATTTCTCATTGAAATTGTTCCACCTCTCACACCTCAGATGACAGGGACCTTGACACTGAAATTATTCCATAGCTATTTAGAATAATCTTATAAGGATTAGTTGTTTCATTCATGCCTCTTGTCTCTGAAAGCATAGTCTTCCCATTTTGCTCATTCCATCGTAAGTTCACCTTCTACAGTTTAAAGAGGAGAGACTGGAATGAGCTCTTAGGCAGAAGTTCTTCCCTGTAAAGGTGCTGAGGCGCTGGCACAGGGTGCCCAGGGAAGCTGTGGCTGCCCCACCCCTGGCAGTGTTCAAGGCCAGGTTGGACACAGGGGCTTGGAGCAAGCCACTCTAGCGAAAGGTGACCCTGCCTGTGGCAGGGGGTTGGAAGTGGATGAGCTTTAAGGTCCCTTCCAACCCAAACCATTCTATGTTCAACCCCTATATCACCCAAGATGCCTGTGAATTAAACACTCTCCTTCCCACCGTCCCATACATAGACCAGGGAATGAAATTCAGATGCAGGCTACAAGTCTGATTGCAATCAAAACCAGAGAACACTACAAGTGTCCTCTCTCCTCACTGCACCTCTCAATGAGGGGAACCATCATATCCCATGCAAAAATCAGGTTCAGGACACATGAAGATGCAAACACCCCAACATGTACAAAGGAACTGGTGACTGTTTCCATAAAAACCTGTGTGGTGTTTCAAGGGACCACAGCAGCACGTGGAGCCAACGTTGTGGATCTGCCCATGAGCTGGGGACTTTGCCCAAATTGCAAAGAGAAACGTTGGAGCAGGCAGGAAAACAAAACTCAGGTTAACAGAAACCTGTTCCCTATTTAAAAGGGACAAACAGAAATCACACAGCAAACACCACCAGGGTACAGCTGGGGTCCCTGGCCCCTCTCTGCCAACACACTGGGCAGAATGCACTGAAAAACAGGCTTTGGTGCTAGTATATGGTGTAGAGATCATAGCATCAACTGGATTGGAAAAGGCCTTTAAGATGATCAAGTCCAACTGCCAAGGCCACCGCTAACCCATGGCACTGAGGGCCTCATCTCCACGGTGTGTGAACACTTGGAGAGACGGTGACTGCAGCCCTGCCCTGGGCAGCCTGTTCCAATGCCTGAGCACCCCCTGGGGAAGGAATTGTTCCTCAGCTCCACCTAAACCTGCCCTGGTGCAGCTTGAGGCCGTTTCCTCTTGTCCTGTCACTTATTACCTGGGAGAAGATACCAACCCCACCTCACTCCATCCTCCTTTCAGATAGTTGTAGAGAGTGATAAGGTCCCCCCTGAGCCTTCTCTTCTCCAGACTGAACCCCCCCCGGTCCCTCAGCCATTCCCCATCACTCTTGTACTCCAGGCCCTTCACCAGCTCCATCGCCCTTCTCTGTCCCCGCTCCAGCACCTCAATGTCTCTCTTGTAGTGAGGGGCCCAGAACTGAACACAGGATTCAAGGTGCAGCCTCACCAGTGCCCAGCACAGGGGGACGAGCCCTGCCCAGGCTGCTCAGCACCTCCCTTTCGGCGGGACACTCGACACTGCACGGTCTGACCGCGGCGGCTCCTACCTGCTGCGTCAGGTACCGCGTCAGGTACCGCGTCAGGTAGGTGCGGGTCGGCAGCGCAGCGCCCCGGCGGTAGCGGGGAGCGGGCAGCGCGGCGGGCGCGCCGAAGAGCAGGAGGAGCAGGAAAAGCCGCAGCATGGCCGGGATGAGAAGCAAGGACCGCCCGGCCGCCCCGCCGCTTTATACCGGCCCCAGTGCCCCCGCCCGGGGGCTGCCCGGAGCCGGGAGGGAAGGGGGGAGCGGCGGGCGGTAGGACCCAGCGCAGAGGGAGAGGCGGGTCCACGCATGCGCCCACTCCCCTATGTGCCCCCCAATGGGCGGGGTTATCCACACACGTGTGAAGAGGGTGGGCACTAAGGAGCGGGGCTTTCCGATTGGCTGCGGAGTTGAGGGGAGCTCGCGCGCGCTTTTCGCGGTTGGCTGCGGCGTCCCGCAAAGAAGCAACGATTGGCTGCTGGAAGCACGTGATTCAGTCCTTCGGTAGGCGATATTTCCGGGATCGCTTCGGAGCCGGAGCCGGTGTCGGGGCCGAAGCCAGGGCCGGGTAAGGACACGGACACGGTCTCGGTAGCGCCTCCCGGCGTCTCCATCCCTGGCACCGAGGAGAGGTGGCGCCGGAGGCTGCCCGTTCCCTTGCCCTGCAGACAGCGCTTCACCGCTTCCCCTCGGTGTCGGAGGACAGCAGCGCTGGAAGAGGCACACCGGTATGAACGGTAATGCTGGAGTGACCGGAGGGTTTCTGGGGTGTTGAGCGCAGCTGAAAGCACCACTTAAAGGGTGGGAGTCGGGTGAAGGGCAACGAAGATGATTAAGGGAGTGGAGCATCTCCCTTATGAGGAAAGACTGAGGGAGCTGGGTCTCTATAGTTTAGAGGAGACTGAGGGGTGACCTTATTAGTGTATATAAATATATAAAGGGGGAGTGTCACGAGGATGGAGCCAGGCTCTACTCAGTGGCAAACAATGATAGGACAAGGGGTAATGGGTACAAACTGGAACACAAGAGGTTCCACTTAAACTTGAGAAGGAACTTCTTCTCAGTGAGGGTGACGGAACACTGGAACAGGCTGCCCAGGGAGGTTGTGGAGTCTCCTTCCCTGGAGACATTCAAAACCCGCCTGGACGCATTCCTGTGTAACATTATCTAGGTGTTCCTGCTCCGGCAGGGGGATTGGACTAGATGATCTTTTGAGGTCCCTTCCAATCTCTAGCGTACTGTGATACTGTGAAGCTTGGGAGTTCCTCCCGGCCTTGAGCTCCCCGGCGCTGTGCCCGGGCTCGCTGCTCGCTGTCGGCTGCCGGGGGCATCTCGGGGATGGAGTGGGAGAAGGCTGAGGGGTAAAAAATGCGATGTGAGACCGGTTAACGGCTCGTGTGCGGCTTGTTTGGTTTTTGTTGGGGAGTGTTTAAGGCAGCGCAGTCACTAGAGGGCACCAGGCACTGACAGGAAACTTGATGAGACCTCAGGGCTGTTGAATTCCAGAATGGTTTGGGTTGGAAGGGAACTTAAAGCTCATCCACTTCCAACCCCTGCCATGGGCAGGGACACCTTCCACTAGAGCAGCTTGCTCCAAGCTCCCTCCAACCTGACCTTGAACACTGCCAGGGATGGGGCAGCCACAGCTTCTCTGGGCACCCTGTGCCAGCACCTCAGCACCCTCACAGGGAAGAGCTTCTGCCTAAGAGCTCAGCTCAGTCTCCCCTCTGGCAGGTTAAAGCCATTCCCCTTGTCCTGTCCCTACAGGCCCTTGTCCAAAGCCCCTCTCCAGGTTTCCTGTAGCCCCTTTAGGCACTGGAGCTGCTCTCAGGTCTCCCCTTAAGGAGCCTTCTCTTGTCCAGGCTGAACCAGCCCAACTCTCTCAGCCTGGCTCCAGAGCAGAGCTGCTCCAGCCCTCGCAGCATCACCATGGCCTGCTCTGGATTTGCTCCAACAGCTCCATGTCCTTCTTATGCTAGAAGCTCCAGAGCCAAACACAGGACTGGTGGTGGGGTCTCAGAAGATCTGGAATGACAGTGAACAGTGAAAAGCTTTTGCAAATAAGGGCTTTTAAGGTGTCCTTTAATTCACCTGCAGAGAACAATTTGGTCTTTTAATTTGTGAGTCTGTGGTTTGAGGTATTTTAGGGTATTTTTGTCTACATATTTCTGCTATCTGCTGAGGAAAAAAAGTCAACTTTCTAAAATAAGAAATGTTTCCTAAAACTTGATATTTTGGATGCTGTGCTAAGAATAGAGGCAAGCTAATTCTGCAGAAAAGTAACACTGAATAAAAAATAACTAATTCCTATTTATTTAAACATTTATTTGTCAGATGCATACAGCTCCTTTGTTGAAATTGATGGTAAACACAGTAGAGCTGTGCCTTTGGCTCAAAGGGCATGAGTATTGTTGCCCTTTTGAGATTTTTTTTCTGAGCAGCCTCTCTTTTTAAAGTCATCGCCAACTGTATCCTGGGCCGCATCAAAAGGAGTGTGACCAGCAGGTCGAAGGAGGTGATCCTGCCCCTCTACTCTGCTCTCGTGAGACCTCACCTGGAGTATTGTGTGCAGTTCTGGTGTCCTCAACATAAAAAGGACATGGAACTGTTGGAACAAGTCCAGAGGAGGGCACAAGGATGATCAGGGGCTGTAGCACCTCCTGTATGAAGACAGGCTGAGAAAGTTGGGGCTGTTCAGCCTGGAGAAGAGAAGGCTGCGTGGAGACCTCATAGCTGGGGAGGGACTCTTCATTAGGGACTGTAGTGACAGGACAACGGGTAATGGGTTCAAACTTAAACAGGGGATGTTCAGATTAGATGTAATGAAGTTCTTCCCTGTGAGGGTGCTGAGGCGCTGGCACAGGGTGCCCAGAAAAGTTGTGGATGCCCCATCCCTGGCAGTGCTCAAGGCCAGGCTGGATGGAGCTTGGAGCAACCTGCTCTAGTGGAAGGTGCCCCTGCCAGTGGCAGGGGGTTGGAACTGGGTGATCTCCAGGTCCTTTTCAACCCAAACCATTCTGGGATTCTGTGTTAATTACATGTGTAGAATAATTTCAGTTTTTAACCCCATGTTGTGACTTCGTTCTAAATTAAGGGAAAAATCAGAAACTGATTTGGTGCAGTGCTGTGCTCGGGTTCCAGTAAAGATTCCCTACATACCAGTGGGAATTTGCATGACTTGTCTGCAGAGGTGTGTGAATATCATGAATGCTTTCTTCTTATTACCTATCTTCTATTTTTTTTTTCTTCTTATAGGATTAACAAAGGGTAATAGTAGCTGTTGCCTCAATTGGGCTACCGCTGCAAACAGAGATCACAATTTCCTGAGGACTGCCTTTCAGAATGTTCAAACAGACCAAATAAAAGCAATAAATATGAACAGTTCATAAAAAGAGAAGTCTTTGAACCATTTTGACTTGTTTTAGGTGATGCTGTAGCACATGGATAGTGTGAGAGGACTCTTGGCTGCCTCTGTAATTTCCATCCAGAACTCCTGCTTCGTCTATCCTGCCTGTCAAAACTGCTTTTCTAGGCTGATACTGGATTCTAGGAGGTACGTCCTGTTTTGGGGGATCACGAACTTTAACGAGCCTTGGGAATATCTGTTAGCGGAACACAAGTTATAACAAATCAGTGTAGATCCAGCCATCATAGAAATAAGTGCTAATTTCAGATATTTATGTTACTTATCACTATTCAGATCTCTTTGTATTACAGTAGCAGCTTGGAGGTTGTTACAGATCAAGAGTTCTATTGTGTTCAGTGCCACACAATATCAAGGAACAGTTTAGATGATTTCTGTTGACAGTTTCCAAGTGCATCTCCTGCAGTCCATCCAGTTCTCCAGTGCTGTTCCCAGTTGGAAAGCGTTAACAGAAAGCCCCTCCAAATCAAATCCTAATTTATTTTGTATTTCTTCTCATTCTAGATGCGCAATTCATCAGGTAGTCCTGCGTGACTCTTTCACTTACTGTGTGTCCAGAACTCTGTTCACTGTCCTTTTTAATCCCACTGTTAGGTGAAATCTATGACACACGGGAGAACAACACATGTCACTACTAAATGGGAGGAGCTGCCTTTGTAAAGCAGCAATCTCTGTCGTTTCAAATGCTGAAGTAAAAGATAATAGTGCTGTTTCCTGATGATTTTTTTAGATCTAGGTATTACACGAAAGCTGCAGGAAATAAAATCCCAAACCAGAATGAAATGGGGATGTGGGGAGTTCAAAATCACTTCCCAACAGGTCATTCAAATCCCACTGCCTCTCTCCAACTTCACAGCTGTCCAGCATTTAATAAATCAGTGAAAGAAGCCAAAGGGCTTCTGACATGATACAGCCAACCTGTGGTAAGATTAATGCCTCAGGGAGTAAAGAGTAAGAAGTAATCATATAGTTTGTAATGGAATGTTTGATGCATTATAGTAGTAATACTTACAGCTGCAGAGAAGTTCTTACCTCGGCAGCGATTAACATAAGCTCATGTATTCAATCTTTTTTATCCTCTTACTGTGTTTTGCCAGGTTTAACTGTCCAAAGTGTGGCTGCACAGGTGAAGCTAAAGATGCAAGCTACAGATACAGATTGTCCCTGAAGATTGCTGACACTAATGATTTGTTTGACATCACTGTGTTTGGGAGTTGCTTAGATCCATTCTTTGGGGTCACCGCAGAGAATCTGCAGAGGTAAGGAAGTGGATTGTTTCCATCTATAGAGCTGCTGCTTTTTCTTCAGCCTAAAAAAATAGAGATGAGCCTGGGTGGTGGGGAGATGAGCGGGAGGAAGCTGCTAAAATGCTCCCTTCCAGCATTTCCTTGGTACCCATCACCTCGAGAAAATGATGAAGTTTGATTTCTTCCAGGAATCTTGACGTTTTGAGGTGGATTACCTCTACGTAGTAAAAGAGATCCTTCACTATTGAAGGTAGCTGGTTACCTACTAAGTGAGCTTCACAAGATGATTGGACTTCTTTCCTGTGTCCTTCTGCCTTTGAGATGGTTGAAATTCCTTTGTCTAACGTCACATTTTGAAGTCTGTTTGCTTTTCCAGAGATTTAGGCTTTTTTTTTCCCTCAAGATTTTAAAGGAATCTTAAGGTAAAGATGGAGCCTTGGGGTTTTTTTTGGGTTGGATTTGGTTTTTAACAGTTTGGATTTTAAAAACAATAGTGATATTACTTCAGTGTGCCAAATTAGCCTTTAGAAGTGAGGAATTTCTTAGAAAAGCTGTTAGTCCTCAGAGCCCAGCCACCCACAAGATAAGCTTCAGACTTTCTGATTTGTGAAACTGCTAGGATAGGATATTCAGCTCCATCCACTGCTTCTTTCTCTATTCTGTTATTTTCCAGTGTCTGGTGTTATCGCTGGGTCAGAGGTGATCACTTTAAATCCCACATTAGCAGCATGAAGAGCGTACTCATTGCAGGCATTCTACATTGGTACGCTACTATCAGCTCTGAAAACCAGAGTCATTTGTGTGTCTGAGTATGGATACTGCTGTAAAGGTGCAAGCAGGAAGGCTATGTAAGCCGTAGCAGCATGTTGACAGCATTATACAGTCGTTGTGTTGATACAAAATCACAGCCACACAGGGAACACCTGAAAGTTTTGTGTGTATTAAACCTATCCAGAGTGGTTGTTTTGCTTTCTTCTGTTTCACAACAAGTTAACTAAACAATCCAATTTATAGCTTCCTGGTTTCCTCTTTTCATTCCATGTTTAGCTTAAGCTACCACAGTATCTTCTCTTTAGCATGTGTCCTACCTATACTACAGCTAAAATGCTATGTCAGGCTTCCTCTGTTGGTCCAGTACTTCTATATGTTTTTACTCAAGGTATGTTCAAGACTTCAATCAGGTGTCAGGAGAAACAAACACAGATGCATCTCAAGCAATGCTGGTTCAAGCAGTGGAAACCTGTTTCATTGGAAAAAGATTTATATTTGGAGTGAAGGTAACTTCTAATCCACATTACTCTCTTATAATGAGTTTTTTTCATTAGCAAGTAGCCAGTTTGGGGTGCAGACGGAGTTATTAAAGCATCATGTACAATATCTTTTGGCAATTTGAGAAAACTTAGGGCTAGGACATGGGGAGGATTCTGCTCCTCTTCCCCCAGACTCCTGTGTTATTTTAAATGAGTCACATCCAAAGTCATCTTGAATGGCAGTAGTCAGCTTGACAGCTTGTCAGGGCTGCTTTTCAGAGAGCCTGAGCAGTGCCAGCTCCTGTAACAGCTTGGAGTCTGTAAAAAACCTTGTACAGTTCAAGCAAGAAACAGACTGTCTTTTCAAGCACTGCCCTACCTTTCCCACGCTGCTTAGTCTCCTAGTGTGTAGAATGTAAGGACAAACACATCCCCTTGCAGCATTTTGATGTTTCATGATTTCAAGAGCATGTTTTCAACTGTTGTTAAAGTACAGCTCTTCAACATAGGTATCTGTGGCTCTTTTATATGTTTAACAGACTTTGAAATACTAGTTCTTAGTAATATTTCCATGGAAACAGTCTTCTAAGTTCTCTTCAAGTGGTGCTTGTGTGAGTCATTCGTATTATGAAGTCTTTGAACTAAACCCTACCTGGCAGGTGCTTTTCCTCTCCCGTAGGTATCATGAGGTTTATATCTGAGCAGAGGTTTTTCCGGCCTCTTAAGTAATGGAAGTTGGAGGACTTCATGGATTAACTTTATTTAACTAGAATTATTCACCAAGTGTCTAGGTCTGATGCCTTTACAACTATAATCCTGTGTATCAACAGCCTTGTGGCTGCTCCTGCACACACAAGGACTGAACACACATTCAAAGACCATTTACTTCTCCTTTGGCTCTAGGCATTTCTGGGCAACTCTGTTCAGCTGTGCATATGCTTGCACTCTCCCAGGTAAAAGTGACAACTGACATAACATACTTACCTAGAAAGGTATTGTCCTTGTTTAAGAGCTTTCAGCCTCAACCTTTGCCTGGACTCAGGGAGTAGGAGGGTTTTTGAGTTTGAAGATGGCTATATTTTGGCCTCTGGCATTGCCAGGGAGAGATGAAAAAGGGTTTGTCCACTCCTCAAAATATTAGAAAATTCCCTTTGCTTTTAATGCAATTGAAACATTCTTATATATGGAGAGAAACAGGTTCTATAAAGAATTGCTGCTGAAGCTCCTGTGGCACACTACTCTCCAAATGAATCTGAGAAGATCATAGAATCCCAGACTGGTTTGGGTTGGAAGGGAACTTAAAGCTCATCCAATTCCAACCCCCTGCCATGGGCAGGGACACCTTCCACTAGAGCAGGTTGCTCCAAGTCCTGTCCAACCTGGCCTTGGACACTGCCAGGGATGGGGCAGCCACAGCTTCTCTGGGCACCCTGTGCCAGCGCCTCAGCACCCTCACAGGGAAGAGCTTCTGCCTAAGGTCTAATCTAAATCTCCCATTTTTCAGTTTGAAGCCATTCCCTTTTCCCTGTCTCCACATGACTTTATCAAAACCCCCTCTCCAGGAGCACTTCTCTTCTCCCCTTAGGAGCTTCTCTTCTCCAGGCTGAACAAGTCCAGCTCTTGTAAAAGAAAAGCACTGGGCTTAGGCAGCTGGCCATTTGCACAGCACTGCACTGGGGGCAGCCCCGAAACACCCAATGACCTACAGTGAGGAAGACATTTTCAGTGAAATTCTCGGATTTCTTGGTTGTTTTTCCAAAACTCTGTGTAATTGCAGCAGGCGAAGAACCTCTCACTGTGATGCCCTTTCTAGCCCTTGCCAATGCTTATTTCCCAGGGAGTACTGCTTTGTGTGACAACCTGGTTTGTATTCTCTTCCCTGCAGATCCTGACAAAAAAATGGGCCTAAATTTAAGCCTGGCTTAAAAGACATGTGTTAATTTTTATCCTTCTTTCTCTATCCCAAAATACTGTACTAAGACTTTTATCTTTCCCTCTGTACCAGCGTTGGGCAAGGGAAGATGGAGGCCATTCTGCTGCCAGCAGCATCTTGCAGAACTGCTCCAAAATTAATAGAAGTACAAAAACCCTTACAGCTTGCCAGCTCTTCCTGCCAAACACTGCTGTTACTGGCTTTACAGTTATCAGCTACTTCCATCGGCTCCTGCAGTCAGCAAAACTCAGGAGCTGTAGTAACAGCTCAGATTTACCTAACACAGCAGCAGCTGCAGCAGATGAACCTGTCAGTGAGCTCAGCAGCTTGTCTAGCCCGAGCAGAAACTCCTGCTCTGTTCAGTCTAGTGGCAGAGAAAGTCCTTTAAGGTCCTGGCAGGAGTCCTTGAGCCTGACTTCATCTGTTGCTTGGGTAACAGCAGAAGACTTTTCCACTCTGGAAGTGGAAAAGCTGGTGAGTGAACAGCATGACCAAGAGGGGAGGCCTGTCCCTGCAGAATCCTGCCGTGTGAGCCTCAACAATCAAACTCTCTGGGATTCACCATTTTGCAGCTCTGCTGTGAAGGAAGGGGATAAAGAGGAACATAATGAGTTGAGTTCACAGCCTAGTCAGAGTGACAGCATCTCTGCAACTGATGAATTAGAGAGAATATCCTCTTCAGAGGCTGAGTGTTCACATGGAAACAGTTCCAGTTTGTTACAACATCCCTTGGAATCTGGGGTACAGAGCACTTACCCAAAGACTGATGGTAGAAATTATTCTTGCCCAGAAAAATCCCACAACCCCCTTTTATACAAGAAAGATGCCTCAGCTTCTAGTCACGTAAATGTGACTGGAGTGTCTCAGATGGATTCTGTGCTGTGGGATGAGCTCGCGTTCTCAGAAAGCCTAAATGAATTCTTAGCTAGAATAGAAGAAGGCAAAAACATCATAACATCACCCAACCCAGATGCAGGCAAACATCCTGAAAGGAGCAGGTTGGGTGCAAATCTTAATGAATCATGTCTCGGGCAAACCCATGTAGCTGCTGATTTGCCTGAAGCAAGTGTCTCCAGGAAGGTCTTGCCACCAGCAGACAGTGATAGTTGGGAGAATGTATTGTTTGCTTGTCTTCAGTCACATGTACATCCTCAGAGTGATGAGGTGGCACAATGTGAGTTTTCCTGTAGTGTTTTATCTGACAAAGAATCTTGCTTTATACCTAACCCTCGCCTACCTATTCTGTCACAGTCCTTGCCAGTTACACCAGAGCCTTCTGTTTCTGAGAGCAGATACATGCAGTCCAAAGCAGCAAATATTGACATTTCAAAGTCATCTTGCTCTTTTATTAATCACTGTGCTGCTAAACGTGGAGAAATCTGTTTAAAGAGGAGTGAGGCAGCTCCCTGTGTGCATTCTGCACATGGCAGCTGCTTAGCTGGTTGGAGAAACAAAGAAAACTCTTATGCTACACCAAGCCAAAGACCAGATCTTACACTCACAGGGAGATGGGATTCTGATGCAGCAACTCCCAGCAATACAAGAAGGATTTATGAAAGACAATTAAAGCCATTGACAGAAGTGTCAGAAAACACCTTCAAAAGCGTTAACAGGAGAGAGACGCTGTGGAACAGCATCTTCCCTGAAGGCAGCTATGATGCTTCTGCTGATCTCTTTGATGCAAGTGCAAGAGAAAAGAAATCATGTAATTCTTTAATAAAGGAAGATGATACTTTGACAGACAAGGTCACAGCTCCTGAATTAGTGCTTTATGCTGGAGATGTTCCCTGTAACACTTCAAAACGCATCTCATCCCAACACAGGTTCCCTCGTGCTTTTAGGAAGCACAGTACACCAGTAACATCCTCCTTTTGTGATGCACAGTGCAATTCAATCAGCGCTCAAGACTTTGTTCCTTATTCACAGTCCACTCCTATGGCAAAACCTCTTCAGAAGCTGTGGCCTGTTGGGGAAAGAAGCTCTTTTGTCGCTCTCTTCACCCCTACAAATCCCAGGAAGATCCATTCCAAATGCAAACGATCTAGGTCTGCCTTTCAGAACACTCTGCTGCAGCAGCTTACTGGCAGGTTAGTGAAACGTGAAAGGCCAAGTAATAGTGAAGATGAGGAAAGTAATAGCTCTGTATCACAGCAGTTCCTTAACAGCCAGCTGCCTGCCAGCTGTGAGGAGTGGATCCCTCCTTCTGCAAACAAAAGGTTGAAGCCATCTGCATCTTTACAGTTAAAAGCAGTTGGGCTGGCTCCTGATGTGCAGGTGAGCTGTGGGTACACTGATAGGAACCCTGCTTCTGAGAGCAAAAACAGTGAGAATGATGCATGCTTCCAAAATGAGAGACTAAACCCTGGGGACACAGCCTGGATTCTAACAACTCCTGCATCTGCTGGTGTCACCAAGGCCTTGTTCTTCAATGAAACTTGTTCTCCTTTCGAAGACAAGACTCTCCTCTCAAGTGCAAGTTACATAGGAAAGATATCTGGAAGGGCTGCTGGCTGGTCTCCGGAGTTGTTCTTCCAAGCACAAACCCCTTTTTCCCATAATCCAGAACACTAAAACCCGATATATTTATGCTGTATTCTTTTAAATTACTTGTAAAACTTTTGGGAAGGAGCCAGAAGAAAAAAAGCTATTTAATAACTGTTTATACACCTATTGGCATATGTCTTCCTAAGGTGAGTTGTGTTTATTTGCTGATCTTTGTACCACAGAGATGGGGGAAAACGGAATTTGCAGTAAATGAACTCTAGAATGTGCAATAAAGACTTTTGTAAATGGGTATTTAATAGCTGTCATTATATCAAGTACAGGCAGGTGAAGTGTTGTAGCATGCAGTGTTGTCTTTTCATCTGAGAAGAGCCCTGGAATCTCTGTCCACTCCAGATTCTCACCTGATGACTCTGCGCGGAACAGTTTCCTCAACGAATATCAAATACCATATGGGAGCTTGGTATGTGAGCCCGCTCTGGCAGCAGTGAGCTGGGTGGAGAGGACCCTCCTGAGAGGTTGGTAGCAGCTCTCATCTTTCCTGGAGGCTTTGTCAAGTTCAGGTGGCTTTGTCAAGTGGTGCATTCCTGACACTTCTTTCATTTTCCTTGCTTTGGCATCTTCCAAATCCTCCACCCAGAACAGCTCTATTTGGGATCACCGAACAGAGAAATCTTGGAGCTGTGCCTGTTGAAGAAGGTGCTGCAGAAGCATGTGGGGACCTGATGGCACAGGATTTCATCAGCCTGAAAATGCTGGCTTGGAGGACCAGAAGCAGGCCTCAAATTCATAGAATCATATAGAATCATTGAACAATGGTTTGGGTTGGAAGGGATCTTAAAGCTCATCCAGTTCCAACCCCTATGCCTGTGCTTACAATGCTATGCCTGGTCAGAAGATGTTATTGATTGCACATAAAATCCTACTTGATAAATCTGTTAGGGGTAAAAGGAGTAAGAAATGTAGCCTGCCTGGAAATGGTAAATCTATGTTTATAGTTTAAGTAGAAGAAATAAAGGAGAAGACAGCATTACTCATACCCAAATCACTGAGCACAGGGAAAAGCAATATTGAAAAGGTTTTAAGACATCAGTGCTCAAACACATACAACATTAAACTAGTTGTTTCTACTACAGCCTCCCAGATAATATGAGACTGCAGCATCAGTGGCTCTTTAAGCACTCCTTTGTGATGAACTGGATGAGCACTCACTTTATCATGGGGGTTAGAGCTGGTCCAAGTGGTACCCAGAGACTTGCTGCAGCTAGCGCTGAACCGCTGCCAGAGCTTCTACATCATAGACCTGACAGCATCTTGACATGAAATGTTTGGTCCAGCATGAGTGATTCTATTAGGCAGGCAATTCATCTGCACTCTATGGTAAGCGATAGCTCTGGCGCAAGCTAATGTGATTGTAATTATAAGCTTGCACAAAAAGAATAAAGCTCAGCATGTTTCATTCTGAAGGTAATAGGGCTCCTGAAAACGCACACTGGGTTTGCAGCTGATTCCCTGGGCATAGAAAGCCATAAATCAAGGCTAGGTTTTAACTTAGGACTGTCTGTAGGTTACCACTGAAGACAATGCAAGGCAGTCAGAGGTTGCTTTGTGCAAGGGGACTGAACACATAGCGAGACCAAAAAGCACTGCTGTGTGACAGGTCACAATGATACCTTCTGGGCAGAGCTCCCCAAGTGCTCTGTAAGGAAGACTTTGCACATGAGATGATGGAGCAGAGGCAGTAACCTGCCTTGGGTTTGCTCCTGTAGTCTCTTCCATTTCTTCCCCTGGGCACTTTTTTCCCTTCTTGCAGGGAGCTTTTGTGCTCCTGCAATGCTTTTACAAAGGTTTTACAGGCCGTGCCCTTGCTGCTACACCTACTGAACAAAAAGGTTCACACCCCACTGGTTAGATGCTCCTTGCAAGGAGGAGTTGCCACTCTTCCCCTGTCTTTCCCTGGGAATAGCTTGGTCTGGCTTTTCCAGCCATCACTCTCAGCAGCAAGCTCCATCCCTGCTCTCTTTCAGTAAATTCCCAAGCTGTCTGAGCTTTAAGGATGTTTTCTTCCCTCTCCTTTACCCAGTTCCTACCTAGGAGCATGCAGGGACTTTTCCCTCTCCAACACCTTTCTGTGTTCTCACTGACTCCAATTGCCAGCTTCCAAGGGGCCATGGAGCAGATGGTCCAGCCATAATGTCAGACATTTACCACAGAAGGAGCTTCAAGGTCAGTGGAAGAGGCAATAAAAGGCACATGGTGTCTTCAAGCTTCACAGCTCATTTCTCAGTGTAAGCGTTAGAAGTCATCTCTGATGTGGAGCAGAGCACAGGGGAGGAAAACTGGTCCTTAGAATGAGTCAGAGCACATTTATGTGTTGACCCAAAGAGTAAAGGCTTAATATGGGCGATCTCATTCAAAAGGATTCCGTAGGGAATTCCAGTGGAGTTCTGTCTGCATGAAAAGAATGAGTTGAAGGATGAAGAGAAGAACCAGCATGAAGTTAATAAGGGAACTGGGACAAAGAATAAAAGACATCTGGAGCATCCAACCATCATCTTGACCCAACACAAACCCTGCATCATGCTAGGACAAGGGTTTAACCAGCTATAGGTTTGCAGTGATGATGGGTGAAGATGCTACCTGTCAGAGACCACCCTTAGTGACTGACTCCAGCATTCCTTTGGCATTTCACACTTTGCTATCATCTCTCTTGCTTTGAATAACCTCTTCCTTCTGTTCCAGTGCAAAGGGACATTGTTCCCTTGGACAGCAGCTGTACTCCTGTTCTTCTTGTGAGGTCCCAATGCTGTGAGAGCCTTGGTATGCTCAACCCAAGCAGAAAAGCCTCAGCAGTCATTCGTTGATGTGATATTAAATCACATCAAGTGAGTCTGTCTTCTATATATTTTTAAGGCAACTTTGTTTTGCAGCTCAAACAAACCCCCCAGACAAATCAAACACTCCAAACACCAAATGGAAAGGATTAAATGTTTATTTACATACAGATACATATGTAAGCAATTTCTAAGTATAAAAAGGACATTACAAATAAACATGAGGCATCATACATTCATCATCCCGATCATCCCTAATACATTCCTTTCTCAACCCCACTGTACCACACTTGACCACAAGAACTTAAAAAAGACAGACAACCCAAATTCTGACAGTCAATGATTCACAGTTTGGCCATTTGCTAACACCTAACCCCTTCCCAAAGACAGCATGACCCCAGCATCAATGACCCCAGCGATCAATGCTCTGACTGGCTGTAGTGCATTTTCTCCACTGACATGGTTGTGCTTGATCAGCAAGAAACAACATCCTCTCCTTTTCCTTCTGGCCACGTGTTCAGGAATGAGGGGTCTGGCTACAATTCTGTACATTGTGCTAATTCACAGTTGTTGGGGAAAAGGCAGCAGTGGGGAAAACTCCAACCCAGGAAAGCCCTTTGATGCAGTGACTTCCCTGGTGTGGAGGTTCCAAACAAGATGCTGCTTTTAGTGCTTAGGCAGGTTTTTAAACTACAAGTCAAACTATGGTTGATGGTCTAAACCATACTTTGTTCATGCTTTAATATTGATTTGCTAGTAACCAAAGCTGAAAGTAATGCAGGTTTTCTCCTGAGGAAATGAAGGTGCTTTTATAACATCTGTAAGAACTGATCGTAGCTTGAAAGAGGAAACGTGTTAGACTTAAAACCTAAAGGTAACACAGAGCACAGGGAGCTTGTCAGTCAGATAACGTTACAAAGGGGAGCGAGCCAGAAAACACAGAATTAAAACGCTTACTCAAAGCATCAATGGATTGAGATGAGAGCTGGGGGAGTCTGTGCAGATCAAAGGCGGTTTGGGGAAGACACCCTCATGATCTGCAAATTCACAGAACAGCCAAATATATGCAGCAGAACAGAGGTGTGGAATGAAAGAGGAGCAGAGCGAGCCTTGTCCCATGCTGACAGCTGAGTGACTGCAGCTGCTCCAGTCTCAGGGGGGTTTGTGTTTCTTTCCCTTTTGTAAACAGCCGTAGGGAATAAAATGAATGTGACACATCTATAGCGCATCTTATTGTGCTGAAAACCATGGCATGTTTTAAACTGCTTTTCTAATATTCACATATATACTTGTCACTCCAAACCAGCACAGCAACAGGCGCTGGCCTTCCTCTGTACTCTCATTAGACGGTCTTTTCTCCCCCAACCATTTTATTCTTACTCCATTAAAATCTCAAAGAAGCACTCCCTTCTCCTCTGCTTCTCCCTCATAAAGGCTTGATCAATGGGGACACTGTGCCCATTGAATTTACTAAAGCTCACTCCCATGATGCAACCCAGACTCACAGAGATGCTCCACACAACCACACAAGTGATGGCTCAGAATGGCTTCTCCACACAGCCGTAAGTGTCCCTGGATGGAGAGCATCCATCCGCTCACTGGAGATTTACTTGCTTGCATCAAACCACCACCACTTCTGGACATCTGAATCTCTTCTGTTGGTCCCATGAGAAGGGACACATTCCTTACAGGATGCCCTGGCTGACAATGAGTTTATGGGTTTAGTTTGGTTTATGTTCATAGTAAGAATCTCAAGGTGGCACAGAGGATGAACCATAGATGCTCTTCTTCCTAGCTAAAGCAGCAGCTGGATCCAGTGATCCATACTTGTTTCCAGTCTGAGACCTCCACAGTGCCTGAGGCATGAGAACTGGGGAGGAACAGATTCATGATGACAGGTACTAGGCTTTGAAAAGCATTCATATGACACCAGAGCCCTTGATAACTGCCCATGAAAGCACAAGAGCACTTCTATCATCCCCTGTCCTTCAGGGAACCATGCACAGCTAAACCCATGACTGACACAGGCTTTGGCCATGTCAAATACCTGTGGACCAGGGCTGTGCTCCAGAAGATGCTCAGCAAGGACAACACCATCGTGCACATCACTGTTACCCCAAGCTAAGCAGGATGGAAAAAGCAAAGGTGCAAATGTAAAGGTGGCATTTGCTTCTTGAGCTTAATTGTAGCACTAACCAGAGCTAAAATTATCTCCTGAGCTTGCTGGAAAAGGATAACTGGTTCAACGAATGTGAGATCACATCCAGGGAGTGCTAATAGCTATTAATGTGAAAACAGAGACAACCTCTGAGGACAGTACAGCCAGCTCCTGTTTATCCAGACAGGAGAGCTGAGCTGTTAACCCTGGATGTACTCCTAAAACCACTCTCATTTTTCACTGACGACATTCACAGCCTAAATTACACTCATTCCTATCCCAGTGTCTGCTATATCCAGGTTATCTTTCCCCAGTTACTCATTCGACAGCATTTGGAGGGGCAAGCATTGGAGGTGAAGGGTTTTTTCCCCCTGGATCTGTGGCTCACACTTGGAATAAAACAAACACCCCCAGCTCACACAGCATAGTTTTTAGTTCTGGTTTCAGTTACAGCTCATTCACACGAGGGGCAAGGGTGCAATGGCATCCATGGGTGCTGACAGCCGCAATCTCTCTCAGCTGGATATAGTACAGTACAGCAAAGGAGAGTTGGGTTCAGTTCAGCGAGGAGGTGATTAGGGAGGTGAACTCAGAGCAACGCAGCAGGCTACTTTGGGAGCCTTGCATCATGGTCACCATGATTACCCTGTTGTCTGTTGCCAAGATAAACCCTAAAGCGAAGCAGATGAAAGATCTATACCCATTATGGTACATTCAACTACAGCTCGAGTGGATGCTCGCATTTCAAAGACATGACAAGTTGAGGCTGCTTTGCTTAGGCTGCACTACTTACCTGTAGGAAATCAAGGTAGTGTTTCCCCACCACTCATCGTGACAAGTGTCCTTCAAAGGGATGACCCTTTGCTACTTGTGAACGGTAAGCAGAACAATTATTACCCACAGCCACAAGAGGACAGACTTGATGCAAGGAAAAAGGGTGGTGCCAAGAGCCGCATTTGTGCAGAGAAGCAAAGTTTATAAACGAAGGAGTAGGCATTTTGATACAGCATCTTTTACAGGGTTTTCACGACTAGAACTGATTTATTTCCTTTGGCTGCGATGGGTTTTCTGGTTAGCCTTTATATAGATCAACATTTCAATTTCCATACTTGCTCACAAGGAATTCAAAGTGTCCTCTCAAAACACCTTTTTTCTAACTGAGCTAACTCAAAAGGGTCTTTGTTAGTAGGAGCAACTTGTGTAAGGATATTGGGGGTGCTTTGATATTGAAAGCAGAAGAATTTCAGATGAGCATCCCTTATGAAAGTCCAGAGCAATGAAAATCTAAGCCATAGATGCACCTTTTAAATGAGGATGGGATTGAGAAGACCCTGAGCAAGTAGAACCATCTCTTTACTTTGCATTCTCTGCTCCACAGACCCATCTCTGCCCTTGCACAAAGGGCTACAGTACTCTCTGTCCCACAGCCAGGAGAAGGCTTCTGTGACACTGTCTCCAGCCGTACTGACCATGGTGACACCACAGGTCCCCAAAGGGCAAGGGATCCTGCATGGCTGCTCAGCCTATTTTAATAGCTAGAGAATTCCACCTCTTTCCCAGCTGAAGTCTCTGGCTACAGAAATGATGCCAGCTCAACATCTCAGCTTGATCTACAGACAGATCTTCATACTGAAAAGACAAGTGGAAAAGCATCTGAGCAAACAGCAGTCCTCAGGGATAACGAACAACGCAAAACCCAATGGGTTTCACCGTAACTAATTGCACCCCTTGGCAGGAAAGGCTGGGGAAAGCCTCTCGTCCCACATGTGCGCACACACCGTGCTTCTGCATCGCTAGTTTTGACTTTCAAATCCCTGCCTCCTGTGTCAGCCTCAGACTGCTGCTGCTGTTACTGATGCTGAAGGAATTCAATAGCCATTAACCACTAAACCTAGACTAGCAGGAGCCAACCGTTACCAACATCGCTATTTCCAAACAGACAAACAGCATCAGCAGGCTGACAGGTTTTATAGGGGCTGTTTCATGTGTTCTACAGCAGAGAACAAAGCATCTTGCCTGACAATTTGTCATGTGTGGGTTTCATTAAATAATGATCACAAAGCCATTTAGCATTCAGCACAAGCACGTATCTGACTGCATGCTCAAACAACTTACCTGTAGATCAATCAGGACTTAAGTGTTAGAGATAGGAAGAGGCATTCAGTGTCCCTTTCTTTACAGAGTTCAGAATATCACATTTCCATCATAATTCCTTGACCTGAAGGGCTTTTTTCCCCATCCCCAAGGACTGTCTCTCATGGGGAACACATATAGGAACAAAGGGAATCATTGCTTGTCCCAGCCAACTTGCAGTGTAAATACCCAACGGAAAGTACCAGTGAGTACTTCCAATGCAGTGATGTGAAGCACAAAACATTTGGTGGTTTACCCAAGAGCAGCCTGACTGAATCAATGGCTGAACTGGAAAATAGAGTTTAGACCATCCAGTTCTCAGGAGATGCTTTCACTCAATCTCTGCAAACAGGTTTGATAGATAAAGCAAACATCTGTGGACCATCCAATATTGGCTTCTGCTCGGAGCTATGCACTGTGCAAAAAGAACTCAAGAAGAGGTCTCATTATGGGACTACTACAGAAATTAATATTCACCCAGAAATAAGACTACCCTGTATCACCCTGAAAACACATCAAACCCTAGCAAGCACGCTGAAAGCAGTGCTTTACTCGTTTGATAACAGAGAATGTTTCCAGTCAAATTTGGCTCCATTATATCCATTCTGCACGGCTTTTGGACCCTCAACCCAGCAAGCATCACAAGGCTTTCACTGACAGTTCTCAAAATCCCACTCATCTAGCAAGGTGTTGGCTATAGTTGAGGAGCTGATTGTCAGATAACTGGGGTTTGTTACTTTATCTCCTTTTAGTTTTCAAGACTTTGATCATTATACCACAGCACTAACTTAGCAGTTGATACAGCTCATCTTCTAGTTGGGATGCTATCAGCAGTGGACCAGACTGAAGAAGAGAAAGCACGCTCTCAGTGCTACAAGGAGAATGGGTTGTATCCACTAGAGAGATACTTAAAGGTGTACAAAAGTAACTTCTGCAAAGGAATTGCTGCAATAAAATATCACTTCTTGACCAAGTAGTGTGCTTGTTAACCGCAGGAAAAGAGGCAAGTTTCAAAAGACAGCTTTGGCTTATGACCTTATAAAGTGTTGCATATACCACCATTGTTTCCTTCCAACTTTTTAAGTCTACACAGAATAAACCTTGAAAGGAATCAGTTCAGATTTCTCTCTGGAGAAGTCAGATACTTCACTTAAACAGCAGCCCAGCTGCAGCACTCCACCCTGAAGCAGAAGCACATCACTGTGTGGAGATGGAGTCCTTACATGGAGAATATCTGCTAGCAGTAAAAAGAACCAATGCTTTGAGGTTGCTTGTAGGCAGCTAGTCTCCAAAATAGCCACCTGTAAGTTAGGAACAGTACTGGAAAAGGAGACAGCCTTCTAGAAGCCTCAAAGTGAATACCCAAGAAGATCATTTAGTGGTTTCTACTATTTAACCAGTTCAGCTTGTTCAGTCACGGTAATGTGTTAGAGTTCAACCTCCAGAACTGATGCAAGGAACACTCTGAGATGCATTTACAGTGGTGCCCAGCAGGAATGAAAAGTACCTGAAGAGCTCTAATGCTTTCAGAAATCAAGCTGGGGAACCTATAGATGTTTTACTGGGCAGTCCCCTTCCCCTTGATCAACTCAAAGAGCCTTGTCCTGTTTGATATCAACTTTGTGCTAACAAGCCCAGCATCTGGAGACTCTGAGCTTTAGAAATTAAACATACATAGCACTGGTTTTTAAATTGAGTGTTACCTTGCATCTGACACACTGAGCCTTGCTCTAAATGACTACCTACAACCTGTGCAGAATCACTGTCTCTAAGTTGTGTGGTCTTCACAAGCACGAACAAACAGCGTTTGGCAGTTTAAGGAACGCTCAAGAATGACACTGCTCTTCAGCACAGGCTGTACCACACAGAAGTGGTACACACACAGGCTGTACCACAGAAGCCACCGAGTCCCACACATGTCTAAATCCTCTGGATTACACCGTGAGCAGAGACTGAAAACGAATGGGCCAGCACAGACGATGACTTGTCCCCCAACTTCTCATACTTACAGAGCTCTTTGCTAAGTGTTACCTAAATGACAAACGAGCCTTGTACCACAACTGCTACATCTTCTTTTTTACCACTACTCATAACAGAAGAAAGTGACCTAAAATATAGCAAAAAAATACTAGAAATGACCATATGACACACCGATCCCCTCTCTCTGACACAGAGTCAGCTCCCTATTACGGATCAAAGGCACAACATGATACAGCCCAAAAGTCTTTCTAGGAACATGTGTAAAAGCATTTTAAAATGCCTTTTTAATTGTTATTCTTTTAAAGACACACTTACTGGCAGCTTTTGATGTCAATACAAAAGCTTTGTTTCAATCTTCAGTACAAGCCAAGTTAACATTAAAATGATTAACTCTCAATTACAGCAAATCTCAGCCATGGAATTGCCAGGGGAGGTTTATGCAGATTAGCTGAACAGAACTGAAACATCTAAGTATCATTTTGCATGGGCACATTTCGCTATCTTCCTGCTTCACTTCAATGTCAATGTGTACATTTGCAACGCATTGTTTGTATAACGGCACTAGAAGTGGAATAACATCCCAAACTCCAGAGTGCTTCCACTTCAGGGGGTCTGTAGAAAGAAATTGCTTAAACAGTTATACACATACTGGAGTCTGAGATTAAAAGTAAAGCATCAAGTGAATTAAATGACTCTACAGCCCTGAAACTGAAAGCTACTCTAGGAGAGAAACCAGATGCCAAGAAGATACCTTCAAGAGCATCTTGGAGAGTAGTTCCATGAGGTGAGCGCTGGATGGGTCAGACACAGAATGATACCACTTGCAACCTGCTGCTCTTCCCACCTAGCATAAAAACCCCTCTACATTGTACGTCTGCCTTTCAACAAGAACTGTATCTACAAGCTTTATGTTTAAGCTGGATATATTGCAGGCGGCCACTTCAAACTGTGCTCTTTTTGAACCCTTACACACAACCTGTGCACGCACAAGATTTTGGTCACAGCTGGTGCACTTTTTCCCCCAGCTCCACCAATAATCTTTCCCAAAGGTAATTTTCCACATTAGGACATAACTAATTAGAGGAGGAATGGTTAATTTTCTGGTTTATTTTTATTTCTGGAGAAGTCTTTTCATCCTGCATTGGCCATTAAAGCAGCACAGTCCTTTCCCACTACGTTTTAGGCCTAGAAAAAGAGGTAACAAGATTTGCTTTATTTTTATGAACAGTGCTTCTTAGTGTGGGGTTTTTTCCTAACCAGTCTAAGTTACACATTCAGAGGACAGCAATGTAGTAAGACTACGTTTGGCCTATGGAATATTTGCTGAACTGCTAGCACCAAAGGGAGCAACTGAGCTGTATCCAGGTCTTCTTACATCTGGAAAATGTTGATATATGTAACTTGTCCTTTAGTTCCATGTTCATGAAAGTGCCTGTAGATGAGAGACATAACACTATTTCAAACACTGGAGTCCTCCACGGAGACGCATGGGCAGACGCTATGTACATGTCCTAAGAGCTCACTCACTGGCAGCCCCAAAGACTGCCAGCGTAGTCCAGGGTCAGTGTTCATTGTTGGTTTATTTCAATTCAAAAAGGACCAGACACATTGTTCTGATATGGAGATGTTCAACTGTTCAGTATCTTCTTCAGGAGAGGCTGCTCTAGTCTCCCACAGAAGGAAACACAGCAGCTCGTGTTCTGCATCGCATGAAGCACTTGTGCAACTCTTCTGCTCCTAACCTGCTCCAGAGACTGCGAGAAAGATGAAACTTCAACCGTGATAGATTCTGCTATGTTGCCATCCAGCTGGAGCCATGCTTCCAGGTCTGCATCCTGACTTGGGAAGTGGCAGGAATAATTCGCTTCAAGTAGATAAATCCCAGCAAAGAAAAAAAAGGAAGGAAAATAAACAAACCCTCTTGGCCCATGGCAGAACAGGAAATCCCATGCCAGCTCCTCAGTTAAAATTACAGCAAGTCAAGTAGCTGATGCTTTTCCCCTCTCCTGGTAAGGGGGATGAGACATTGTTCTCAAGGGTGTTCTGTCGTGCCTCGCTGATCAAGCGACAGGCCAAGTCCAGGAAGAGTTTTTCCACATTATCTGACTCTTTTGCTGAGGTTTCCAGGTAGTACATATCCTGTGCTTCGGAAAACTCGGCAGCTCTCTGCTGGGAGACTTCCCTCTTATCAGCTAAATCAATCTTATTACCTGCATTGATAGAAAAGGAATTCATTTGGCTTCCAAAAACAAGAGAAATGGAGGTTGGAAAGGGATAAAGAAGAGTTTGGTGTCGTACATACGCATGGACAGTGGTTTTGATGTGAAACTCTTAGTTTTTACCCTCTCTTCCAAATAATGGATTCCCTGATACAAGTGGTTAAGTTCATTTAATATCAGCTCATTTAGAGCAACATGTCCTGAGAACATCCAAGTCAGTTAGCTCTAATTTAGCACCAGTTGCTGCTATCAACCAAGATTAAAGGATTTCCATTATAATATCTATTGAAAATTCTCCTGTTCTTGCTCTGAGCAGCACTTAAAATGTCAATTATAGCATACGAGACACTAAATGTGATATTTCTCATGTCATTACAAGGTTTAAAAGAAGCCTGGCACAGAAGGCAGCTTTCCTATTGCAATATTCTCAGGAAGGATTTGGCTGTTGAGGCTGGAAGAGGGCTGGGCCTGGGGAGCACTTGCAGAGAGAGGTGTGGTGAGGAACCAGCCCCTTAAGCTCAGTTCAGCAGAAAGTTGATTAAAGCCTCAAGCAAGCATCTGATATGATTATACCCTATTACTAGCCACTTCACTGCAAACATGATGGTTTTGCCATAAATTAATCTTATAATGAAGATAACAGACCAGGACCTATAGTAACAGGGGGCTGTGTCCATGGACTCTGCAGTTTCAGGAGGAAACATCTCCTGGGTCCACTTCTATGAGCAATTTTGATACTTAGTGGGAGGAAAAGACTACACTTTCATTGGCAAACCACCTCTCATTGCCCTCCTCTCACCTGAGATGTCCTTTCTTTCCCGATAAAGCAGTTTCTTGGATGCACTGCATATACTGGTTTCCTTTCTAAACAGATTATCATTCAATACAAGTGGTTTATCGGTCTCACCATATGGGTACAGCAAACTGCAGGCATCACCAGATTGATGAGATCTGAGCTGGGAGTCACAAGGGAAACTGTGACTTGAGTCAAGCAAATTCTTGGCTCAGTTGGTAGCTGCACTTCAGTCCCATATAGGACTGAGTGGTGAAGTATCCACTTCTGCATGCAAAAGCCTTCAACCTAAGACAGGGCCACACTTCAAGTAGTGGCTGTGATGTCCTGGACACCACCATCAGCATCTTGGGAGAGTGACTTTTACAAGGGCCTGTAGTGACAGGACAAAGGGGAATGGCTTTAAACTGACAGAGGGGAGACTGAGATGAGTTCTTATGCAGAAGTTCTTCCCGGCGAGGGTACTGAGGCGCTGGCAAAGGGTGCCCAGAGAAGCTGTGGCTGCCCCATCCCTGACAGTGTTCAAGGCCAGGTTGAACAGGGCTTGGAGCAACCTGCTCTAGTGGAAGGCGTCCCTTGAAACTAGACAGTCTTTAAGGTCCCTTCCAACACAAACCACGCTGTGATTCTATGATCTGGAGAAGGCACGGTCCACGCACTGGCTTTAGGGCTGTACCCACCTACAGTTACAACTGGTTGGCAATGAGATCTTCCACACCAGTTCCAGCATCCAGCACCGTGAGTTCACACAGATGCCACGTTTTCCTCCTGCTCACGTGCCCATCTGCCACCAACCCCTCGACACACACATCTCAGCCCCCTCACCACACCAGCCCACGCAGGACCATCACCACTTACCCACTAGCACGGTGATGACCTTGTTGCTGGCGTACTGCTCGATCTCCCGCAGCCACTCGGGCAGGCAGCGGAAGGATTCTTCGCAGGTGATGTCGTAGGTGAGGATCAAGGCGTTGGCGCTGCGATAGTAACTCTGTGTGATGGATCGGAACCGCTCCTGTCCCGCCGTGTCCCAGATCTGCAGCTTTGGGCAGAACAAGGAAAGGTGGGAAAAGGGAATAAAGAAGTTAACTTCTTCTATTCAACAGCAGCACTGCTTTGACCTGTTAAAACCCCTTCAGGGTAAAGCCAATGGTGGGAAAGCACTTTGCTTTTTTCCCTATTGGCTTCCTTTCTCCCCGCAGTGTTTTGTTTGTGTTCCTGCACTAGTGGATTGAAATGCAAGGCACAAAGTCAGCTGGCACTGCAGCCAACAGCCCCTGGAAGGCACAGGTCTGTGAGTTTTCATGTGGCTTCCAGTGTCTCCCTTTGCTGTGGACAGAGCTGCTGGTCTGGAGTTATAACAGAGGCGATGGAGAAAGAGTCACTTCTCCTGCCCCTGAATTCCAACTAACAGCAGCATCCAAAGACGTGGTAAACACTCCATCCCTGGCAGTGTTCAAGGCCAGGTTGGACAGAGCCTTGGGTGACATGGTCTAGTGTGAGATGTCCCCCCTAACTATTCTATGATCCATCCCAAGAAGAACCAATAAAGCTTCTCTTCTAGCTCCCAAAGCTAGCTAAAGTTATGCTGAGATGATGCATTGATGGAATCAAACAAGGAGCTCAGATGAAGGCTGATCCAAGGACTCCAACACGTTTCCTCTTTACAGCTTCATCCATCCCACTTAGCTGCTCACTGCCTGCCTTTAACGATGTGAAAGGGTGATTTCCAGCCAGAATCCTGCATACTTTGGGAAGAAATAGGTGAAGTATTTGAGATTTGTTCCATATATTTAGCATTACAGAGAAAAACCATATTCTTGCCCAGTTCCAAAGTCAAACTACCCCAGGTACTCATCATAAAAGTGTTAGTTTGAAATAAGAGCTTCAGATGTGGGTCTGAAAAAGTACTTTTTTTTTGAGAGAAAGTGATTTGTTCTGGTTCACAGCTCCTGGGCCCTTTGTGCTTAATCCCTTGGCATAGTTGTACTTAAACAGCTGAACCCGGTGCCTGTAGTTAAGTGACACACAAAACCATACGTGAAATTACTTGCACATGGAATTCAGATACTGAACGAGTCCCCATTAAAACAAATCAGCCTTCGAACTCCAGCAGATGGAAAAACACAGCTCATTTTGTTGTTGCTCGACTGTTTCCCAGGAAAAACATTTACTGATTGATCTGCTGGTTAACTCCAGCTTATGTGTGTTCCACACGCGTTGAGATGATCTCCAAGCTGACAAAAACTTGATGTGAATATGTTCTTCAATGTAACAGACATAGACATCAACAGGGATTGCACTTGGGAGACAGTTTCTCACTAGCTGCAGTCAATGAACGGGGTGCAATAAGATAGGGAAGAGCCACCAACCTTATAGCCAGTGACAAACTCTTCCTGCACACAAAATACACATCTCCCACCTCACCCCACTGATTATTTCTCCCAAATGGCAGGGGGTTGGAACTGGATGATCTCAAGGTCTTTTCCAACCCAAACCATTCTGTGATTTATGGTTCCATGAATAAAGTATTTCACAGCAACAATTTTACCTGCCTGTTTTTCCAGGGGATCCAAAGGACAGTGCCTGACTCAGCCCGCAGGAAACCTACATCTTTGTTTTCTTGAGGCCAGCTGATGCTTCCCCTCCCTCAGCATTTGCACACATTTAGCTTCACGCACATGTACATCTCCACCATGCACAATAAGATCACAGGTCCGGATAGCACAGCCCTCCACAGCACTGAGGATGCTAGCCTTGACCAGCACGAAAACTGGCTCAACTTTGTGTAGCCCCCTTACTACAGGTGGTGTACATGCTTTTGTGTTTATTAGAAAAGGGCAGGCAGACCAAAAGCCCCTCAACTGCACTGTGCTGTCTCAGCTCACCTGTCAGTGAGCTTCAGGAGCAGCTCACATCTGATACGGTTTGCACACAGCGTTCACACCAGCAAGTCCCTCTCCACTGACTTTCAAATGTAATTTTGAAAGCTAGAAAGTCATTTTTCCCTGGAAATCTAGCTTATTTTCACCTGGCCGGTGAGCAGCCCTGCTCTCTCACCCTGGATCCCAGTGGACGTGCAGGAGATGCTGCCCAGCACAGAAGCAGAGTCACAGCTCAGATACTGTTAAATGAGCTAACAATGAGAGCAGCGCCTTGTTTGACTGGGATGTCATTTTTATTGCTCTGACTCATTCCCACTTTTCCTGCTCATTAAATGTTTATTCTCACTGGCACTGATTACACAAAAAGTTTCAGCTACAAAAATCACTCCCTGAAAGAAATCCATTTGCTTTTCACACTCCAGAAGGCTCATTCAAATGCCCAACTGTATTGGAGTAAGCTTCCTCCCAAGCTTGGTCACTGTGGCTGAGCTCTGGCAACTCCAATTTATTCCATTGGTGGGGTCAGGCAAGGGACTCTTTATTTGCTATGTCAAATACAGCTGGTATACCAGCTACTGCTTGCTAAGGCTCTGTCAAACACAAGCCAGCCCCAAGGTGATCAAGAGAGTACGTAGAATCATAGAATCATTTGGGTTGGAAGGGACCTTCCAAGGTCATCTAGTCCAACCCCCTGCAAAGAGCAGGGACATCCTAAACTAGACCAGTTGCTTGGGTGGATGCTTGTGCATTCAAACATGTGCAGGGCAGCAGGGGCTTACCACACTGATGAGTTTTTATTTAGCTTGTAGACCTTCCCTACACCATCCTTAGCCCTTAGACAGCCCTTATTGGCACAACTGTTCCATATGATCTCTTCAGGAGTTTGCATCCTCAGTCCAAGACAGTCTTAAAACAGGATTATGTCATGGGAGTAACAAGTCAAACACAGACAAATCCTTAGGGTGAGGTCACTGGTCCAAAACCAGACCTCAGATATAAACAATGCTCTTTAGGCTCCGTCTGTACTTAACAGGGAACCAGTTGCTTGGAAAGGAGAGGTATCTGACGTGGATGGGATTCATCTTCCTCAGGATAGTTTTTCTCCCTCCATTAACCAGGACAATCTAGACACAGCTGGTTTAAGCCAGGTATATAAGGAAAACCACTAATTCCACCTTCAGTGCAGTACTTAAGCCATTTACTACTTAGATCCTCTAAGCTGCCCCACTGGACCTGTCTTTGGCTGAAAGACCCATCTCTGCTGTCCGAGGAGCCTGGACAAGCAGCAGCAGTGTCTTGGTCAACCCTGCTATGCCAGGTGCCTGCTAATGAGCATCACAACCACTGAGCTAAGCTCTGACACCACAGGGGCTACACATGATCCTCACTGCTTTCCTGCCTGCTGCTGTCCCACTTGCACAGCAACGTGCTGAATGGTAACTCAGTCCTTATCAGGGGAAGGTATTTACACCTCTTCTCCTTCACTTGCTTAGGCTGGAAGGGCTTCTGCTTAAGGACCAGCATTTGCCATAGGTTTGCACAGCTCCTCACACAGGAGGGTGGCATCCTGCTGATATGATCATGGCTTTTTAAATCTGTCCTAAACTGAGGAATACGCCACCTGATTTTCTTCTAAAAACCCTGTGTGCTGACATACAGGTTAAAAACCACCCAGGGCTGAAAATCTGCACAAGTCCATTGTTCCCATCCCATCACTTACACTAGCTTAAAAATGGGTCTCATCATATCCAGCTACTGCCTGGATGCGTATCACATATGATGCTGCCTGCATCATATCACACTGCTGCCACTCTCCCATTTGCTCACTGCTAGGTTTGATGAAGGCAGCAAGGGGGAAACTGCTGTGTTTCACCTTGATGCCCCTGGATTTAATGCAAGCATAGCAACCCCAGGAACAGCTCAGGGAGCCTGGACACGCTGACATTAGAGGCTCAGGTAATCTTATTCCTCTCCCACCTCACAGACACCCACAATCTCTACTAATGAACAAAGTGGCACCAGCCAAATCTCTGGGTGCTGGAACCCAACCATGGATCCCATTAAAACATAAGACTGGTCCCTGGTGCATTTTGGCTCAAACAATGTAGCTCTCTGCCAAGTGATGCTCAGGCTCAGTTTGGGATTTAGCATAGGACAAGCAGTTTGGTTGCAACCACCCTATTTTGGAGGGTGAATGAGTTAATCCTATGGAGGTCATTGCTCTTCTCAACTCAGTTTGTTGACTAAAGCACAGGTATTGTGATCATCTCTGCCTCTCCCAAATCCATAACTAGGAAGCGGAAGACAAGCCTTTGTTGTGGAGAACTGCACAAGCCCACAAGCCTGCTCTTACCAGCAGCCACCTTGGGAGCTTCCAGAAGACCATCATCAAGCACATCCCAATGGGAATGCAATGGATCTCTGCTTACCAGAAATGCCGTGAGCAGAGGTTGCACTGAAGTGCTTCTTGCACTTCCTCAACTCCAGGCAGGCACAACCTTAGCATCCCCTAAGCAAGGACAGAGTTTTGCAAGACCTCCCCTCTCTTTTCTCCCTTAGAGTACGTGCACTGTTACAACCCCAATGGTAATTGTGGAGAGGGGCACAAAGATTGCTAGACTCAGCATTGCCTTTGCCATGTCAGACAGCCCTGTGCTTCCCCACGTGCTGCCTTCCAGTTGCAAGAGGACTGTGGCAAGAACCCTCAGCTATGGTGCTGCCACACAAATTTACACTTAAACCCATCAGGCTCCTACCTTTACTTTTTCACCGTTTATCTCCACAGTTTTGATCATGAAGTCAACCCCAATGGTGGCTCCTTGACCCGGTGGGAAAAGCCCCTGAAAGGAAACAAGAGTTTCATTGAGCAAACTCTAAGTGCCAATCCTCACCCTTGTCCACCCTCAAAACTATTCCTCCCTTGTCCCCTTCCCCAGACACTTATTGCCATCACATTTAGATGAATCACATTTCCCCAGCACAAATTACCACAATTCAACCCCACAGTGTTTTCCCTGCCTACATGTCCCTCATCATGTAGGAAGTTGTTGACTTCAGAGTTAGGAAAACAGGAGAAAAGGAAGATTCATACAGAAAAAAGGAGAAGGGAAAAGCCTTTCTTCAGTGCACTTGGAAAAGGCAGGGGAAGAGTAGATGAGGTCCCTCCAAACTACTCCTCAATGCCTTGAAAGAGGTGTGAGAACACATGTGGAATGAGATACCTTTGTTCCAGCAGCCTCACGCCTTCCCTCTCTCCTCCACCACACACCACAGCATGGAAAGGCATTTCTGGCAGCTCCCACTGCTAGGGTCACATTCCTGCACAGTGTTTTGGGAGCAAAGCATGGAGCCAACCACTACCAGTGCCACAGCAATGGCAAAGGTTGGCGTGATGCTGGTGGAATTTGATTGCAGCACCATAAGAAAGGAGCGACAGCAAAATCTCCCCTGGAAAACCCCAGCCAGGGCTTTTTGATTTCTGGTATCCACATCTACAAAGTCATGTTGATTCTGGGGCACGTCCATCCCCTACAGCATCTGCACTGCCAAAGCACAAGCAGCAGAAGCAGCCTCAGATTTTTGTGGTTAACCCTTTGGAGTTGACCGGCTTTATTGCCACTGTCACATGCTGGTGGAGGGTTTTAAAGCCATGTTGATGTTAAACACTGGAATTAACAGTGAGGGGGGAAAAATGCTGACAATTCCTAGTGCAGAGTGCAACAAGACCCCCACAACTTATTTTTGACAGTGCATCATGCAAAATCTTCCGTTGCCCCAGATCACAGAAGCATGGTCCTTTCTCTCTCATTCTGCCACCAAAAAAAGGTCTGGTGTTTAACAGAAGACACTGGACTGAGAGCCCAGGACCCAGCTTATTTCATTATCTACTAATGGCAAATAAGAGGGAGAGCTTTTTGAAGCAAGGGATGGGGAGAAACCACACAGGAGCACACAAGATGTGCGGGTCCAGAGCACCTCCAAATCAGGAGGAGTTATCCCGGCAGCTTTCAGGGTTTTTTTTCCCTCTTCAGAAGGGGATGAGCTTTCTCCAGCAGTACCAAGTACAGCAGTAGATGCCCATGTGCTGCTTGGCCCATGTTGCTATAGGTGATGCATGCACCAGGAGTGCAGATAACAATGTGCTGGAGCCACGACGCCTGCAGAGCCCTCAGTGCACATTCAAAGCTCCAGGCTCTTGTCCCCATCCCAACATCCATGTCCCAGCCTTACCTGAGTGAAGCGACGGACTAAGCAGGTCTTCCCCACACCGGCGTTGCCAATTAAAACAATTTTGAAGAGGAAATCATAATCTTCCATACTCATTTACGCAGCTGCAAGAGGGACAGAGCACAACGCAATGTGAACCGAGGCAGCAGGGAAATGCCTTTTTATACCTGCTGGACTTTATCCCTCCAAATATTCAGAGCAAAGGTCTCCTGCCGTGTGTGTGGCTCCTCAGATAAGGAGAAGAGCCCTTCCTGCTCCAAGTCAGGGCATCCACGTAGTCCAACATCAGCTGCTACTAAACCTTGGCCACGGTTTGGCTTTTGCGCTGTCTCACCTGAATTGGAGATGCTGATTCTGAGCCCTCCAAGCCTGAGTCACCATTTCCTACATCTCCCCAAATGTCTGTTTTGTTTCTCAGCTCCAAAGGACAGCATGCACTTTGCCATGTTGTCTGAGAGGATCATGTAATCTGTTGCTGTCAGGGCAATACCCAGAAACTCCCCATGAAGGCACTGGATACCCACAGAGCAGGGCTGGGGCACACAAGGGCAGAACAGATGGGGAAATTAAAATAGCTCTAAAATAAAAGCAGCAACATTTGTCTTACAGACAGAAAGAGCTCACTTGCTAAAATCATAGAGCAGAGTGGGGAAACAGTTGGCTGAAGTACATTAAGAGAGGTTTTAAAGAAGAAATAATAGTGGCTATAAGGAGTATTGCTACTCCTATGACAGCTCTCTTTAGTTTTGTGAATATAGCTTGCTTGGCTTAAAGCTCAAACAGGAAGTGGACACAAAGAAGCCTGAGGGTTACTTCGCACACACATCCCCCTCTCAAGCCCAACAGGAGAGGTGGCAGGATGCAGAGGCTGATGTTTCGGCAATGCCACAGGAGGTGGGCAGTGTTGCCTACACAGGGTAAGACCTCCAGGGCTTCCTTAGACCACTTGCAGTACGGGGAGGACTGAACAGATACATGTAGCTTGCTGCAGCTGAGCAAGGCGGGAAGGATGAGTACCCAAACCTCCATCTCCAGTGCACCCAGGGATGCTGCTGACACTGCAAACAGAGAAGGGGCCTGTAACCTTTGAGAAAAGCATCAACAGCCACAACAAATTCAGTTGGAGGTTTCAAGCAGACAGAAAAACCCATAGACAAGGGTGCAGAAGGGCAGTGTTCAGGAAGATCCCGGTATTATATGTGACATCAAAGACCTGTCTTCAGAACCGGACTGGGATAATGGCATAAAAGACATCAGTAAAAAGACAGGTTTACAAGCTGTCGGTGGATACCAAGTAAGGTGGTACCTAAGCATCACTATCTAATCCATCAGTACCTATAGATTAGGCACTGGATGAGAAGCCAGAGCCCTCTCCTACTGTCTCCAAAGGTCCTTCCTTGGGAGGGCTCACTGCCACACACTAGAAGGTCCCAGCTACAGACACAGGTCCCATCACATAGCTGTGATAGGCTTTTAGTCAAACGAGAGCTGTCTGCGTCAGCCTGGTAGACCTGGTGGCAGCAGAGGTGGAAGACTGAGTCAGCTGCTTCATGTCTACGTGATCCTTGGCCTTTCCAGAAGCCTAAGACAAAAGGGTAACCACACCAAATCAGTGAGTGACTAATAACGTGCATCACATCAGCAGATGGTTTGCAAGGACACTGCTGAATCACTACAGGGACATGCTAGTGACACAGCACAGCACTTGCCCTGCAGCTTGTTTGCTGAGCTGGGGCTACGGTCCCCTGCAAAGTACCACCAAACAGCAGGAGCTGACGCTGTCCTGAGGATGCTCTGACCTCACTTCCCTCCTATCTCTTAATATGAAGAGTAGGACCTTAAAGAGCAGCCTCCAAAAATGCCCTTTTTTCTTTTCTGGGGTTGTTATTTTGTGTCATCATTTCCTATCTCCATGACTGGCTTTCCCAGAGTGGGATGAGATAACAACAACATTATTAAGACCATGGTGACAGCGCTTTCACAGAGAAGGTTAAATGTTAATATAAGGTTTCAAGCTTTCACACTAACCAATGTGCGGAAAAAAACGTGATCATCCACTGAAAGCTATTTCAAGACTAACGAGACTTACTCAGCACTGGATAATTATCCCTGGGATGCTTCAAATCCCAGAGCGCATTGCTCCCCCCTTGGAGGGATTTCAGATCTATTACTTGTACCCCAAACAGCCAACGTTCAAATTTATCTTCTTGGGAAGCTTAAAAATAAACTTCCTCAGCAGATCTCTGAGCTCAGAAATGTTAAATGGCTCAGATATACCCTAGGGTTATATCTGATCCCCTTCATTAGACTCCAAGACTAATCATATGTGATAATGACCCCAAACGGGAACCAGAAGATGAGCCAAGACCATAAAACAAACAACATAATGATGAGATTAAATGCCAGAATCAAAGAGACACCAGAAGTGCGGGCACAGGAGGGGAGAAAGCAAAGGAAGCAGCAAGGAAAAGAGAAGTGGGAAGTGGAAGGAGCAGATGAGGTTGAGCATCGCTGCCCTATCACCCCTGTTCACCTAAGCTGGCGTTTCTCCCTTTGCTGTGCACGCACACTCTCACCTACCACGCTGTCAGCACTGGAATCACAACCATTGCATCAGTCACCATTACAACATCTACAAGCAGATGCCTTCCAGCCAAGTGACCTTTGCTGCTGACTCAGGCTCACATAACCCTCCCTCTCCCCAGGGAAGATGTGTCTCGACCTCTGCCCGGCTCACCGTGGCCAGGGAATGCGCATGTCAGCAATACATCCCACTTGGAATTCCATGCTTCAGAAGGAAAGAAATAACACACAGCATCAGGTTTTGATTTGTTTTTCTTTCTTTTGGGTTGTTTGTGTTTTGGTTTGGTTTTTTTTCCCCTTTCTGTTCTATTGTGTTGGCAGGCACAGGGCTCTGCCATGCATCCCTGCAGTGGTTTAAAGTGTTAATGCTGCAGCTGCCTATCCCACCCTTTGGCAGAGACAAGGCCCTGCAGCAAGGAATGGGATGGGATGCCTGTCCGTGCCTCAGCCACCCCTCACCACGTTTGGTTGACACAGGGCTGGCTCCAGCACAGAGACATGCCCTGTGATGAGATGAAGCAGGAGCAGAGCATGAGGCCAGGAGCAGGGCAGAAACCCGGCTTTCACAGCTGTTTCTCCCAGTTTATACAGCTCACATCCCAACCAGTTTCCATGGCTCATGACCCTCCCTGAATTGTCCCCAGCAGCCTCAAGGGGATCAGTTCTGCAGGGGTTTATGTCCTTTGTGCCACTGCTCTGCTCCACTACATCATGCAGCCCCATGTATGGCCACTGTGGGCAGGAACAAGGAGCCAGGAGAGGCAAATCAAAGTGGGGTAACCACTCAGAGAGGTGCATCCCATCAGCAGGGATGCAATTGAAGGATGCTAGGATATGTTTTAGGCTTAGCTGGTTTTCTTTGCTTGGGCAAGACAGTACAGTGAATGCTCTCAGTATTTTTCAATTATTAATTCCAATTCAACCCAAAGACTGGTGAGATCCCCCCAGAACAAAAGCACAGGGGCCAGGGGCTTTCACCTCTTCTCCCCCCCGCCCCAGGCAAGCTTGTACAAACAAGCTCCAGCTTGTCTGGATAAAGGATGCACAGAAGCCATAGGCTGCCTGCCCGTGCAGCCAGCACTGATGCAAAGGCAGACACAGATCAGTCCTTCCCACTTCTCCCAGTGTCCTTATTGCTGGAAACCATCCCATAGCACAGCCAGCAGGACTTGGTCCTCTGTTTCATCCTGCGATGGGCTCTTCTCCTGGAAGAACTGATGAAGGAGTAAGACACACTCCATCTGCTTCCCCTGTTCACTACAAGCCACAAGGCAAGGAGCTCTCCACAGTAAATATATATCATAGAATCACAGAATGGGTTGGAAGGGACCGTAAAGGTCATCTATATCCAATCACCTGACATGTGCAGGGAGGGTTGGAATATATATTTCAGGTAATACAATATCCAGGTATGTTGTAGTTTATTCCATTACATGATTTCCTCTCCTCGCATTTGCTCCATTCACCTCTCAGTTATCCCTGATCCACTTTAACAGTGTTTATTATCATCTTTACCAATTATTTTACCCTTTTGCAGTGTTTTTTCACCCATTAGTTTGCATGGGCACAGAGGGTTCCTCTTCACATCTGACCTGCCCTGACCATGCCATGCTCAGGCTCTTTGGTTGCGAACTAAGTGGTAGGAACACAATGCAAAGGTTCAAATACTACCTGGAGATATGAATTAGTTTGAACTGATCAAGTTCTCCTTCAAATGGGTGAAACCACTTATTCTGCCTGCCTAGCATCAGCTTTTGCACCAGCACCACTCCTTGCACAAAACAACCATTAAGTGTGAGTGAGGTTTTTAGCTCCCTTGACTCCTTGCCCAAGGAACACTTTCCACCTCTAGGCATGATCACGGCAGGCTCGATGATGATGATTTTGCCCCAGTTGTTTTGGCTCACGGAGCTGTCCTGGGTTCAGCAGTAGAAGTCATTTTTCTTCTTCTTGGTAGCTGGTGCAGTGCAGTGTTTTGACTTTCAGCCTGGGAGCAGAGCTGATAACACTGATGTTTTGGTTTGGCCAAGGACTTCGTGAGCCTCATGCTCTGCCAGGGAGGAGGGGAAGCCAGGAGGAAGCAGACAGAACACCTGACCCAAACTGACCAAGGAGGTATTCCACACCACAGCACGTCATGCCCAGGATGTAACTGGGAGTTAGCTGGAAGGGCTGGGAGACTGCAGGGCTGGAGGAGGTTGGTGCTTGGTCAGGCTGGGGGGAGCGAGTTACTGGTTGGCTGGTGCTGAGATGTTGTATTCTCTTCCCTTGTTATTTCCTTTATCATTATTGTTATTGGTGGTAGCAGCAGTGATTTGTGTTATACCTTAGTTACTAAACTGTTCTTACCTCAACCCGTGGGAGTTGCATTCTTTTCGATTCTCCTCTCCGTCCCTCCGGGAGTAACGGAAGGGCAAGAAGGTGGGGGAGCGCGTGAGCAAGCTGCCTGACTGGTTTTAAACCACAACAGGAGCCAAAAGTGGAGTGGGATACTTCAAAAGCACAAGCCTTTGCCAGTCAA